ATAAAACAAATGAATGATGCATGCCCAACAGTTTTCGTGGTTTTTTTTTGTTGTTTTTTTTTTGCTAGCCTGGCTCATCGAAACACAGAACTTTAACCCATTTTAATATGCAAGCATATATCTGTGTTATTGTAACACAATGAAAATTAAAGGTGGATGAAAACACCATGAATTACTTTGAAAAATCACATTTGTGGTGCTTGGAAATAAATTCTCAGCAATGTATGTTTTTGTAATCTAGGGCAGTACTAATAGCATTTCCCTGTAATCCCTACTTAACCTTTCATTCCTAGTCTACACCCGCTGCCAAAAATCAAGGGCTGTCTCAGGCAACTGACTTTGTGGCTCAAATGCCTACCCAGCCAGACTTCCTGGGCTGGGCTGATTTCCACTTTTATTTTATTTTAGTTTAGTTTAGTTTGCTGTCTTATTTTATTTTATTTTATTTTATTTTAAGATTCAAGTTCCATTTCTCCTCGCTTCGAAGCATACACTTATACCACAATTACCCAAAGGTCAGGACACAAATGGGGATGCTCAGGCCCCAGCTGAGTCCATATCCCTGAGGCCACAACCCCAGAACCTACATGTTTAATCAGCTCCAGGAGATTCTTGCTCACACCAAAACTACTCACTGCCGTATCTGACATCAAACCCTCCAGAGCAAAGACCAACTTCTGTGTGTCTCCGTATCTCTAACACCCAGCTCCCTGCCTAGCCAAGAATGGGCACTTGACCCGAGAATGTACTGAACTAACAGGCCTTTAAAAAAAAATAAAAAACATCAAGGGCCGCATCATGTAGGAATCCGTCCAGCCCAGCCTACTGTCTCCTAAATGATCCGCTCGGCTTCCCTGGAGCCTCTCCTGAGACGGATCTGCCTCAACTGTCAACACCCAAGACCAGAAAGGAAGAGTGTTCCAATGGTACCAAGAATTATAGTTGCTGGCAGGGGGACCACCCTCTGGCCTTCCTTCTGAGGCTGCCGTATTAGCAAGTGCTGGAAAGAGGTGGCTTTGATTCTCAAGGTCAAACATCTCCTTTGGGAAACCTTAAACCAGTGTCCTCAGGCTTCACAGCAGAATCACCTAGCAGCTTGCTCAGAAATACATGTTCCAACGTGAGTTTCACCCTGAGGTAAGTACCTGTGGGGTGGGGTTTGGGACACTGAGCTGTCCGTGCAGCATCCTTGCCCCCAGATGATTCTGATGCTGAGGACCCCTGACCCTTAGAGAAGTTCCTCTTTAAACCTAGTCCTCGGGGCGCCTGGGTGGCTCAGTGGGTTAAAGCCTCTGCCTTCAGCTCAGGTCATGATCTCAGGGTCCTAGAATCGAGCCCCGCATCGGGCTCTCTGCTCAGTGGGGAGCCTGCTTCCCTCCCCCTCTCTCTGCCTGTCTCTCTGCCTACTTGTGATCTCTATCAAATAAATGAATAAAATCTTTTAAAAAATTAAAAATTAAAAAAAAAAAAAAACCTAGTCCTCAAAGAACTCCCTCAACTCCCTCTCCCAAAAAGGGGGGAAGGCTGTGGCTCCTTAACTCAGTCGGATGTGGGGGTGGGGGAGAGTTGATAGAGGATGGGCCTGGGAGCTGGCAGAGGGAGAGGGGGAAGTGTCTGCTTCTAAGAATTTGGGGCCCTTCCTGCAAACTGAAGAAGGAGAAGAGGAAACTTGGATTGCCTCGGAAAATAAAGCTCAGTGCTAAGTGTTCCCTAGGATCTTACCGGCTCTCCACAGCCTACCTAGACCCCACTGCCTACGCCCAGGCAGAATTCATTGTTCGGTGCTGCTCCTCACTCCCCAGAGCATTTAGCCCTTTTTCTGGATTAAAGCACTTATCTGGCATTAAAGCTAATTGTTTGTTGTAGGTCTTTTCCCCAGACATCCTTTGCTCCTGAAGGCTGATTGGTATTTTCTTATCTCTGTGCCACCCCTGCTGGCCATGAGGTACTGCTCAAATAAAGCTTCCAGGTGGGTGGACTGCAGATAAGGTCCCCCCGACCCCCCACGCCTGTGATGTGCTTCTTTGATGGAACTGCACCAGGGATGTGTGAGCTTTGCAGGCTGGCCTGGACCTTGTCACAGCTTTGCCTCTCTTCGACACATTTTTCCAGAACTATGTCACTGCCAACAAATCTGTATGCAAACACTACAGAGACAAGACATTTGCCCTAAAACACGCTGGCGATTAACCTTGAAGCCTGTGTTGTTTTGCAGGTGCAGAGACAGACACACACCCATACATATATAATCTTATTATGATGCATTTCACCTTGCGATGTTCCCTGTGCTGTGGCTTACAGTCTTGCAAAAGTATTTTTACAGCAGAATTTCTGATCTTGAAAGAAGACGCTGTACGTATAGCCTTGGCATACAGCAGAGCATCTTGGGATGCCGCGTTATGCATTAAAGTGACCCAAACCCCTGCCACACTCTGACTTTCTGATCTGGGGAGTGTGTGAATTTTCCCGAAAGTTTAAATCATCTTTTTCTGCTCCTTGGGCCCAGACTTTTGGGACACCCCTCTGATCACCTCTGGTCTCTCCCCACTTTCAATCCTTCCCCACCCAGCTTCCACAGAGATTTTCTGGAAACCCCTGCTCTGATACTCCTTTCTCTTCAAGAAGTTCAACTTCCATTTTGCTTTGGCTTCCAAAGCCTTTTTCTCTCTTCCCAGAGCTCCACTCTGCAGAGCATCCCTTCTTGTTCCAGCTCTGCTACCCTGCCTTACGCTTGGAACAGGACTTTTCACCCAAGCTTGGCTTCCACCATTCCCTCTGCCCAGAATGTCAGCTTCCCACCTTGTGCTCTTGAAATCCCACGTATCTTTGGGACTCCACTACAGCTCCAGCTGCAGCTTAGTGGGTGGGGTCAAAAGCCAGCTTCTGTCTGAACATGAGCCAGACACTCAGCCATTTTGAGCCTCATTTCGCTCACCAACAAAATGAAGATTCAATCAAAGGAGGTCTAAAAAGAAGAGCAAAGAAAAGCCTCAGACAATGATTTTCAGCCCTCACCTTAATCTTCTGAACCACATTCGCATCCCTTCTCATCCAGAGCTGAGAACACACTGAATTGTGAGAGCTGAGGCTCATGTTTATTACCACCCCCAATAGACCAGGAGGCCTTAGAGGTCACGGGGCCCCATCTTAGACATGGCTAGCCCACAGCTGGTACACAGTGGCTATGGGATGAGAGGTTTAATTAACCTCCTCACTCACAACCAGAGCCAAAAATTCACAGGTCAGTTGCCTCTGGGAAGCAGTGTCAAAATAAAAGAACACAAAGGTCAGAACCAGCTAACCTTGAACCGTAGCCATGTGACATTATTTAAGACATGTTTGTATTGCCTAATCTGGAAAGTGAGGATGGTAATGGCTCTATGGAAATAACTCTACATCGTGTGGTTGCTCAGATTAAGTCACCAAGGTGGGTGAAAGTGCCATCAACATTGTCATTTGGATGTCATCAAGTTTTCAGTTTGAGTTCTTCCAGCCTCGGCAAGGACTGGCCAGTAGAACATCTGAGCTGAGCTGAGTGGGTTTCAAGATCTTAGGAACTGTGGCTCAACTGTCCCACGACCAAAGACCACCCTGTGACTTTCATGGGGCTCTGGGCAATTTTGTTTTTGAGGACCCCTTCCTCCTTAAAATGAAACAAAATAATTATATTTTATGACTACACTGGTATAAGGAAGGATATAACCCAGGCTGCATTCATTATTTCATATTGCTTATCATTATACTCATTTTCTTCTGCTGCTTTTAAAGATTATTCATTTATTTATTTATTTGAGAGGGAGTGAGCATGAGCAGGGCAGGAGGTGTGCAGGGGCAGGAGGAGAGGGAGAAGCAGACTCCCCGCTGAGCAGGGAGCCGACTAGGTCCTCCATCCCAGGACTCCAAGATCACCACCTGAGCCCAAGGCAGACACTTATGAGCCATGCAGGTGCCCCTCTCCTTCTGATTTTAAAAGAATATAAATTGAAACATTTTTGTGAGACCCCAAAGTTCCTGTGGGCCCCAGGCGTCGTACCTCCTGTGCCTCTGCCTGATGGAGAAGTCAGCCTGGCTTTAATTCCCTGATGTCTGGTGTCTTACAAGTGTCAGCTCAAACCAGGCTTCTTCCCACTCACTCTTTCCTAACCACTTCTGGGGTCTTTGCACAGACTTGTTCTCTTCCTGGAATCCTCTCCCCTGCCTCTTTCCCTTATTGACTTTCCCCCCATACCTTGCAGTAGCTCTCTGATGATCACGCTCCGCTTACAGCCCAGACTGCTGAGGCTTACCCCCAGTTTCTGACCCAGCAGCTCTGGGGGGGTCCCCAGAATGTACATTTTTAACAGCGCCCAGGTAATTGATGCTCACGCTCTGGTCCGAGTACCACACCTGGTGCACAGCTGATTTCCAGGTCCGCCCCATTGCCACCTTCTCTGATAAGCCCTCTCTGACCGGCTTCACCAGCGTTTCTCCCTCATATACTCTTCAAGGATTAAAGGTCTCTGCTTTATCTATGCAATTGTGTGATCCATCTCCCTCTCTCTCTCTCCCACTTGTCTGTAGGCGCCACCGGTCTTTTGGCTCGCTGTGGGATCCCCATCATGCTAGCACATAGTAGGCGCTCGGTGGACTGCTGCTCAGAACAGTTGAACCAACTTAACCTCCTAGCGACAGTGAATGCGGGTATCAGAATCCTCTCAAACCACCAGCACTGCATTTGTGCGTTTTTTCCCCTTCCCTTTTTTTACAACGATCACCCTTAGAACTCCTCATTCGCTTCTCCTTCCGAGGAAGATTAAGCGGCTGAGCAGAAACCGCGTTGGCCAACCCCAAACCTCCCAGCCCTAAGCCCCTCCCTCCCTCCGCCCCGCCCCTCCCTTAAGGTCCTAGGCCCCGCCTCAACCCCCGCCTCCTAGGCCCCACCTTCTAGGCCCCGCCTCTCCCCCCAGCGCAAGGCCGCTGCTGCTCTGCGCATGCCCGCCCAGCTGAGGGCTTCCGCGGCGTCTCCGTCCGGAAACAAACTTTCTCCTAGATGTCACGACTCTGTGCATCCCCGGAGCGGCTCAGGTAAAGCCTCCCCCGCCCTTGGCGCTCCGAGCAGGGTCTGGCCTAGCCTTGACGGCGGTGCCGGAGTCTGTTCTTGCCGAGTCCACCTGCCTACCTGCAGAGCCTGCGCTCGGGCGCGTAGCCTACTTGGCTGCTCGCGGGCCCGGGGCGGCCGAGCTTTGGCCCCACGGGCTCACACCCAGCCTCACAGGTTCGCGCCCCTTCCCCGCGGGCAGAGCTTGTCCCCCTGCCCAACTGCCTTCCCTCTTCAGCCCAGAGCTTCTCTGGAGTTTGACCCCCAGAAACCACAAGCCCGCGCCAGGCAGCTCCGGGTTCAAGGCCCCAGTGGCCACTTGCAGAGGTGACCTTGGGTCTCTCAGTTGCTACCCTCTCTGGGCCTGGCCAGGATCGAGTCCTCGCCTCGCCGGGCTGTAGTGAGGCTAGAAGGAGAAAAGCGTGGAAAGTGCGCTGGATGCGCGCGTGCTCAGAACAGGGTGGCTGCTGCTATCGTGTTTTCGTGGTGGTTATTCCAAGGACCAGCCCCAAATATGGACAGGCACGTTTTTGCAGACTTTTGCTACTGCTGGTCCCTCCGGCCAGTTCTGGGGGCCTCTTAAAAGTCACACTCAGTCGGCCCGGTTTGCTGAACGCAGGCCGGTGCGCATGGGATGCACCCCGGCATCCGCTCCAGTGCCAGCATGCTGTGGTTCTTTTTAGGTATTTGGTCGTTTTTTTGAAATCCACTGCTGTCACCCAGCCAGTTTAAAGGAGCAACCCGCCACGCAGACAGAGGCACAGGGTAGCAGCACCTCCCGCAAACCACTGCCCGTCTAATGCCTGAGACACTGCTGACAGTGGTTACCATTGGTCGGGCCCTGGCGGAGTGCCAGTCACAGTATGTTAACAGTGTCATCACAGGCTCACAGATAGCTCCAGGCGCGTCACAGATGAGGAAAGCAAGGCTCTGAGAGGTTCTTCTTAAGCATCTGAAAACCAGTTCTGCCTGACTTAAATTTCTGATTTCGCTCATGATGCAAGACTGCCTTTCCCCCAGAAAAATGAAAACCGAACTGTTAGTTTCTAGGGCTGCCCTAACAATGTACCACCAGTGTGATGGATTAAAACAAGAGAAGTTCATTCTCCCAGTTCAGCCTCCCTGAGGCTGGATGTCTGGACCCTTCCTGCCCGTTGGCAGTTTCTGATGGGTGTTGATGTTGCTGAGCTCTGGGTAACATCACTCCTGTCTCTGCCTGTGTCTTCACATTGCCTTCTTCCCTGTGTGTGTGTGTGTGTGTGTGTGTGTGTTTTCTCTCCTTTTACAAGGACGCCAATCACTGCATTTAGAGCCCAGGATGATTTAATCTCAAGATCCATAACTACATCTGCGGAGATACTATTTCCAAATACAGTCACGTTATGAGTCTTCTGGGTGACATGAATTTGGGGGGAACTCTATTTAAACTACTACACAAACCAGCAACAAAATACACCAGTCAGAAGGACCAACACATTCACCATCATGTATTCAGGGCACCCAATGTGCTTATTATGAATCCAGATACTTGCACATTATCAGTGATGGTCTTCAAAGTGGGTTCCCCTGGTTCACAACATCACCATCACCATTGCTTGGGAGTTTGATGCTAACTTCCAGGCCCCACCCCAAACTTACTGAGCCACAGTTTTGGGGTGGGCCCAGCCCTCTGGGCGAATCTGTTGCCACTAAAGTTTGGGAACCACTGTTATAAGGCAGTTGAAGACATAAGGGTTTGATAACATAAGGGCCAGGTTAAGAAAAAGTCTTTTACCTGACAGTTGTCTAACCTTACAGTGACTTGTTTACCAAACCTGTCTTACTTGAATATACTTAAGAATTAACATTGAACTCTTGCATCGTTGAAAGAGTATTTTACCATAATTTCTACTTAAGTTTCAAAGTACCCTTGTGTACTAAACTGTCTTCTTAGTACTTTTTTGCTCATTTTATCTTGCCAACAGTCATGTGATTTGGGTGTTATCATTTCTGCTGTGCTATTAAAAAAATACAGTGAGAGTCAGAAATGGTAAGCTCCAAGACACACGGTGAAACAGAAACATAGGCAGGACTAGGAGCTTTTTATCCTAACTCTGGTTACTAAAATGTTTGGTTTGTTTCCATTTTAGAAAAAGTTTGATAGATGATGCTAAGGCCCGCTTAAAAAAGCATGATGTTGGAACGAAATATTCTCACTTGTCGTCTAACAAATATTCTGTCCTTTTACCATTGTTGGCCAAAGAAGGAAAACTCCAACTGTTGTTCACCCTCCGGTCGGAGAAGGTAGGTGACCAAAAAGCTCCTGCCATTCAAGTTCCAGGACATTTGAAAACCTCACAAAAATTATTTGCCACTTGCACACATTTTGGGGCTGTGGATTCTCAAGTGAACTTTCAAGATTGTGTTCAGGGGCCCAAGAAGCCACAGGGTAACATGGCATTTTTGGGGAGAAGTTTTAGAAAGATAAGTAATTTAGCTAGCAAGTAATTTTGAAATACTTTTAGACCAGGGTTTTTTAATCTTGGTGCTACTGGCCTTTGGGCTGGGTGACTCTTTGCCGAGGGAGCTGTTCTGTGCATTGTGCAATGTTTAGGATCATCCGTGGGCTATAGGCACTAGGGGCCAATAATACAGACACCCACACTCCTTTTGTGACAACCACAGGTTTCCCCAGATGTCCATGAGGGCAGGAATGAGGGGTACAGTGCCACTGCCAACAGCCACTCTTTAAGCTTCCCACCCCAGGTACAATGTGGAAATTCTAGAGCACAGAAGTTAACAGCCTGGGCACTGAAGCTGGCTGCCCATGTTTGAATGCAGGCTCTCTCCTCGCCGGTTCTGTGACTTTGTCCTAGTTACTTCTCTGTGCTACAGTCTCTTTACTTGCAGAGGTTGGACAGAACACTGCTGCTTGCTTTGTAGGGCTACTGTGAGGATTTCCCAGGGAAACAAATGGAAAGCGCCTAAACCACCCCAGCACTTGGCAAGGATTCTGGTCGGTTTCAGCCGCCCTCACTATTAATAGTCATTAGCAGACAAGGCCTAGGTTTTCAGAGAAGCCGTTCTACTTTTAAAGGAATGTTGGGCTGGGAATGGAGTTCCCTTGGGTACACCCCTGGATATAGTCATTCGCCTTTGCTGTTGAGGTGCTTCTGAGGAAAGGCTGGGGAACCAGTAACTTTAAAGTTATCCAAGTACAAAAATGAAAATGGGCCAGAAGAGCATGGCTTTCGAAGCAGAACATCAGTAAACAGTATCCCCTGAGCGGGGAAAAGAAAGCCAAGGAATCAGCTGAAGTTTTGTGGGTTTGGGTTCTTCTGGGTCTGGGTCAGGCAACAGTCACATAAACACAGGAGGTAAGAAAATCCAGGTTCCAACAAGAGATAACCTAACAGGAAACCAGGGGACCTGGGTCTGTTCTCAGCTCTGCCAAAGAGCAGAGAAGGACGTCAGTGTTATTTTCCGAACTATCAGACAAACAATAATGTAGACAACTGAGGCAAGACCGAAATGGATCTCTGGTTACTTTTTCACCCATGCATTATGTGAGAACCATCTTAGACCATAAACTCTGGTGTGCAAAGATCACATTAAAAACAAAAAAAGAATATTTAAATCTCAACGCCTATCTAAAGAAATTCCTTCCCAGGTGTTGCTGGAGCTATACCTCTCCCTGAAGTCATACAAGTAGGGTTCATGGGTTTCCTCCTAGTAAATGGGGAAGGGGCACCTGTCCTCACTCCCTTCTGCTTCATTGTGGGCTCTCCCACCAGCTCTGGAACCTAGAGCCAAGTTAGCCCGGGTGATCGCAGGGTCCTGAGATTGAGCCCACGTCGGGCTCCACACTCAGCAGAGTGGGCTTCATATTCTCTTTCTCCCTCTGCCCCCCACCCCCCATCCCCACTCACTTTCTCTCTCCCTCTCTAAAAAATAAAAAATAAATAAAATGGTTCATTTTAGATTATGTAAATTTCACCTCAACTAAAAAAATACTTTTAAGAAAATACCAGCATGTGGCCCTGTTCTGAGGGCTCAGTGGAAAAACTTGTGAAGCAGCATGTCCAGAGCAAGGTAAGCCCTCAGTCAAGGCTGTCTACTGATAACATTGCCCTTTTTATTCTACTTCCTTTTGGCTTTATTCTCCCATCAGCGTAGATACGTTTTCGTGCATATGGCATCTTTTAGGGGCAAGTAGAGGAAAATTACACGTGAAGGAAGTTCTCAAAAGTCATCTTTTAAAAGGATTCAAGTAAAAAATTTGGGGGGGGGTCTTACTCCCCGCCTCTTATTACCACCCGGGTGGGAGTGGTGTCTGGCACAAAACTGAAGTTCAGTAACGACTTACTGGACAAGGGCGTGGTGCCAGAACTGGATCCCAAATGGAAGCTCTGTTCTTTTTGATATCCAGCTACGAAGGTCACCTGGAGAAGTTTGCTTCCCTGGAGGCAAGTCTGAACCCACAGATATGGATGATGTGGCCACGGCGCTCCGGGAAGCCCAGGAGGAAATAGGGCTACATCCTCATCAAGTGGAGACTGTCTGCTGCCTGGTGCCATATCTGCTTGACGTAAGTGCTAGAGTGGACGTGGCTTGCTTCCGCTCTCATGGCCACCCAGTGGACCCGTAATCATTAGCATTCCACGTGTGGCCAAGCAAGACAGTGCTGTCCACGAACTCAAGAGCCTCGCTCTTATGTGGGTTTTGCCCCTTGTGAGCTAAGTGGCCTTGAGCAAGCCCCTTTGCCCATCTGGGCCCCTCTTACCCCATCCAGAAATGAAAGGACTGAACTCCATCAGTGGTTTTCAAACTGGATTCTGTAGAACCCCGTAGATGCTTCAGAATTCTTTTTTTTTTTTTTTTAAAGATTTTATTTATTTATTTGTCAGAGAGAGAGAGAGGGAGAGAGAGCAAGCACAGGCAGACAGAATGGCAGGCAGAGGCAGAGGGAGAAGCAGGCTCCCTGATGAGCAAGGAGCCCGATGTGGGACTCGATCCCAGGACGCTGGGATCATGACCTGAGCCGAAGGCAGCTGCTTAACCAACTGAGCCACCCAGGCGTCCCGATGCTTCAGAATTCTTTAAGATTCAGTTGACATTTATTTTTTGCCAATATACATTTCTTTTGAGAACTCATTTGAAAAAAATATCACACACTTGAGCATGCCGTGTTCCAAATTTTAGCCTCTTGGAGGCCACCAGTACCTTACTTTTGTCCTGAGTACTCATTTTTATACATATTTTGGAATCCAGCTTCTCCATATCACATTAATTGAGCAGTACCCTGAGATCACTAGGCAAGCTATCTAAGAACTATTACTATTTGTAGCTACATTTTGCTATGAATCAGGATTTCCTTGATTGCATACATGAAAAACAAACAAATAAACAAACAAACAAACCACGAAAGCAACAAAATGAATTCTGGGGCTGATATAATATCCAGATCTTATTTCACATGAGCTTATGACTTGCATTAATTGACTTTAGAAGGAGTAAATGTTGTAAATTTGTGCTTGGATAACAGCATTATTTTATTGGTTTAAAATTTTTAATATAAACTTGCAATATTAGAATAGGTAAAGATCTACAGAAAAGTTGCAAAGATACTACGGAGAGTTCTCATATACCCAAACCCATTTCTTCCTATCATTAACATCTCACGCCACTGGTGTCTACTTGTCACAACTAAGAAACCAATGTTAGTACACTGCTATTACCCAAACTCCACACTTTATTGGCCTTTTACTAATTTTTCTACTAATGTCTTCCTTTCTGTCCTGGATCACATCAAGGATACCATATTGTATTTGGTTGTCATATCTCCTTAGTCTCTGGTCTGTGACAGTTTCTTAAACTTTCCTTATTCTCATGACCTTGACACTTCTGAGGTGCTCTGGTCACGTATATTGCAGAATGCCTCTCCATTTGGATTTAATTGATGCTTTCCTCATGGTTAAGCTAGGGTTTTGAGTTTGGGGGAATAATACCATAGAGGGCAGTGCTCTAATCATATATTGGAAGTAGGGATAAACTGTATGTTTTATACATTGGACTTTCAGGTACATTTTCATTTCCAGAGGAGAGTCCCACTGATGCATAACAATTAGAAAACCAGTGGGTCTCACCATCCTTGATGTTCCATTTGCCTCCCAGTCTCGGTGGCACAGTGTTGTCAAGGTCGGTAATGCTGAGCCATCCATCTTAATAGGTCCGTTTTCAAAACAGAAAGGTCACCACTCAAGGGAGATTTAGTTTGGAAGAAACTAATGACCTCTCAAATAAATGCTTCCTAAATGAGATGAGCAAACATGGGATTAGGACAAGAAATGTATCAGTCACTTCCTAGGCAACTATGTTTTCTAATGGGAACCCCTCTGCTCAGCTTCTGCAAATCCCTTGGCCTCTTTGGGAGGATTTATTTTAAAACTCTGTTGACAAACTGAACCCTCATGGTAGAAAGTTCCCACAGTGAGAGTGACTCCATTTCCAAAGCACCCGGGAGCTACTGAGTCCTGCCTGTGAGGGGCAGAATACAACAGTCTCCACAGGAGAATGTCTGGTCTTCAGGAGATCTCGGTGGGCCAGACACTCCTGAAGCCGGAGCTTTCTAAAATGACCTCCTCTTGATACAATAATGCCAGTCACATTATCAAGAAGTTAGAATGAACAAAGGCTTTCAAGAACGGTATCCTGTGTTTGGAAGTGCTGGCGAGGGTGGGTTTGTTCTTCAGACCTTGCAGATCTTTTAAATGTAGTGCAAAATGTACTAAAAAATCCAGTGCAAGAAAAAATTATAAAAGTGTAATTGATTCGAGTACTTAAAAGCAGAACCTAATCCAGTGATTTTTAACCCGTGCTGATTTTGTCCCCCAGGGGAACATGGCGATGTCCGCAGAGGTTTTTGGGTGTCAGAGCTTGAGGAGGGCTGCTGGCTGTTTGCCACCTGTGCTAGCCCTGCAGGTTAGTGGGCGGTGGGCCTCCAAGCCCACCCCCGGCATCCCTTTGCCGTACGTGTATGTACTGCTCTTTGCAACGTCCTCAGGAGACTGGTCTCCTCCTCCTCTGTACATGGCCGATACGTTTCCATTCATTCTTGTTCACTTCGCTCCCTCTGAAGCTTCGATTCCTGTAAACATATCAGTGCCTTTCAGTGGTGTATCCTTTCCTGGGAATGTTTCTAAAAGCATGTGGCCTCTTCCAGGGGCCCTGAAGTGTTCCTTGTCTCTGGGGACCACAGCAACAGCCAGTCTCCACGGGATCCCAACTGAGCAAGTGGCTGAAATTCGGTCTTTCCTTGGTCCCACAATGTCTGCCATGCATCCCGCATCCTTTTTTCCTTCGGAGACAGACACCTGTATTTTGGGAACTGTGTGTCCAGACATGCTTTTCATCCGCAGATTTCTAAAACCTCTCCGACTTCTCTAAACTTGAACCATGCTAAACGTGCCTGACTTCCCTTCTGAAACTTTCAGTCTCAAACCATTCTCTCCCTTTGTGGCTTTGATTTTTTTTCCCCACCAGTTACTTCCTCAGACTCTGACAGGCGAGGCCAAGGGCCAGCACTGGCCACGCGAAGTTGCTTGTCCACACCCGTGCCTCGCAGCTTGGCCCATAGAGTGAGGATGAATTTGTGCCCCTAGCTCAGCCCTCGGGAAGCCCTCAGCTGAGAGCTCTCCACGGCAGCATGTAAGCCATGTGCGAGGCTGGTGTGTCATCTCTTTGAAATGTGGTGATGTTTGTGTCTTCAGAGCCCATAAGCACTGTGCTCTAGAGGGTGGGCAGCAGGCTGGTGAATCCCGGTTTCTGCCAAGTACTAGCTGGCCCTGACCTTGAGCAGGTTGCACAGGTCTCTGATTTCCACTGTTAAAGCTCCTTCAGGGTCATGCTGTCGTGCAGAAGCAGGGAGAGGGTGCTGGGTCCTAGACCAGCGCCCCAGAGGCTGTGGTCACTTCATGGTGACAGCAGCCACAAACTGCATGCTGAACCAACACTGCGAGTTCTGTCCAGAATGTCCCTTTCATATTCTTAATTATGTTTCTGAAAACTCACACCTGCAGCTTTCCACCCTTCCCTGCTCACAGGGAGCCTGGAGGGCCTGAGAACGCACTTGGCCAGACAGTCCTTCACCAGTGGCTGTGCTGAGGGGCATGACAGCCCAGCTCTGTGGTGTACTTTACCCCAGATGCCCCGCAGGGTCCTCGCCTGCCTTCCTCCCAACCTCCTGCTTTGTCCTGAGAGCACTTCCTTAAGAAATCACTTGCATCCGAGTGTTCCCCATCTCCCAGAGACCGTTTCTGGGAAGCCCTGTGGCCCAAGAGGCTGAGATTCACCCAGGGCCAGGTGGTGATTGCCATTGGTGGAACGCCGATTCTGCCCTGGGGCCACTTAGGACCCCAGATTTCCCACCCAAAGGATGGCTGAAGACTATGCTCCCGTCTTCCACCCCTGGTCTGGACATTGACTTTCACCATTAATTCAGTCAATGGTCTGAGTGATCACTGTTCTTAAACATGCTTCAGCTGTCACTCCCTTAAGAATTTTCCACAGACCTGTTTATCCTGCTCTCCTGTCCCAGCCTCAAGGTACAGGCCTGGCTTTTCCCAGCCCCTTTCTCTCTGTATGCCCCCCCCTCAGAATTCCAGATTCTTCTGCCTGTCCACGTCAAGCTTATGCAGATTTTATCTTATTATTATGCAGCTCCTACACTAAACCCCAGGCCTCCCCCTGGAGATTCCCAGCAGGTCTTTCACTTAATAACACCCTGCATTCATTTGCAAGCAATTGTGGTTATAAATAGAAATCTCCGCCCCCCCCCTTATAAACATCTGTTATGTAAAATAGTTCATATATAATTATAAATGCAATTTCCCATAATTGGGTGTATGCCACAGTTAATATGTCACTTTTCTATTGCTAAGGTGGTACATCCTTGTCTGTAGTGACAGGGAAAGGTGTCTCACGTTCATTTTGAGGGCTGCAGAGTATCCCATTATACAGATACACTTTTAATTGACCTACCCTGAATGTCCGTCAGTGGAGGAGTGCTAACTTTAGACTTTGGGGCTGTTGCAAATAATGCTTCAGTCCAGGGGCACCTGGGTGGCTCAGTTAAGCGTGTGCCTTTCGGGCTCAGGTCATGATCCCAGGGTCCCGTGTTGGGCTCCCTGCTTAGAGGACAGCCTGCTTCTCCCTATCCCTCTGCTGCTCCCCATGCTTGTATGCTCACACTCTCTCTGTCAGAGAAATAAATAAAATCTTTAAAGAAATGCTTTAGTCTTGTATCTTTTCTCACTTGTAGGAATTTATCATACCGATAAATTTATACAAATGCAATTGCTAGGTCAAAGGGACCACATTTTTATAACATTGCCAGATTGCTTTTCCAAAAGATTTTACCAGTATGTTCACAAAAATACACTTTCAGAGTCATCTCACAGATATTGCCTCAGAAGGGGTGAGACTAACCCCCATTTCACAGGGGATATGACTGTTCATGTCTGGAGCAAATTCTTCCTCCTTCCCTCCCCACCTTGTATCACTGACTGCTTTGGACTGTTTTCTTAATTTGTGTATTTTGTTTTCTGCTTTTAGAGCGACACACTGATAACCCCAGTTGTCGGATTTCTAGATCACCACTTCCAGGCCCAGCCTAATCCCAACGAAGTTAAGAGTGTGTTCCTGGTGCCTCTGGACTATTTCCTGCATCCACACGTCTACCACCAGAACTACCTGACACGCTGTGGTCATCACATTCTTATTCATTGCTTTGAGTACACAAACCCTGAAGATGGTGTCACTTACCAAATCAAGGGGATAACTGCAAAATTTGCCCTGTTCCTTGCCTTAATTATTTTGGGGGAAAAACCCATCTTTGAAATGGAGTTTAATCTCAGTGATCTAATTTCATCCTCTGAAGAGATCTTCCTGAAACTAAAGAAGCATGCTACAAGTAAGTTATGACTTATGAGACCACCATCCGAATAACTGAGAGGAGTTTGTGTGTGCTTATCCATAAGAACAACAATAATGCGAGCTGTTGGAAACTGACAGGTGCAACAATTTCTCCTGCAACATGAAGGGGAAAAACCTTGCCTTTTTCCCACTTGCCCTGTAATACCTAAGAGAGCGAAAGGTTTTGCAAAGGTGGAAAAATGTGTTCATGGTGTCGCATAATTTCACAACACAGTATGTTAATATTTTTTTTCTACACATGTATCTGGCACATAGTAGGCACTTAATAAATATTTGTTGACTATATGACCATGTGGCATTTATTTTATTCGTGGGAGGTAATACCTTTCTGTCTGTTGTTCCACATGACTAGAAACTTCTGGCCAGCCATCAGAAGCTATCCACATTTTCCTCCCTGGCAGTAGAGTCGAAGCAAAGCTCCTAGCTCCCAAGAATAAACGGCATTACCCAGGATTCCTTACAGTTAAATGTAAGCTCTGGAACTTAATGTGGGCCAATGGGATGTGAGTGAAAGTTGACCCTGCAGGTCATCTCCAATTGGGAGAGAGAAGCCAGCTTCCTTGGACCCTTTCGAGAAGCTTCAACATAGATTTACCTGTGGCCTAGCCTTGACCATACAAATGAGGACAATGCCTGGGGGGATGGTAGAACCCAAAGCGGGTGGGAGTTTGGATCTCTAAATGCCTCTTTAGAGTAAAGCAACCTGTCACCCTATGTGCTGTTCACTTGGACCTATTACGTGAGAGAAGAATAAAATTCTGTCGTTTCTGCCACTGTTATTTGCGGTCATTTTGTTAGAGCACAGCTATTACCCTAATATGCCGTAACACTTGAAAAAGGCTCGATGGATGTTCACCCAAACTTGAAGTGTTGCCAGCAGTTAGAATTTGGGATAATGTGACCTTTCACACATGGGTTCTGTGACATGTACAAGATGCCCGTGGATGTTGATGGGTTTAGCAGACGTCATCCAGAGCAACTGAACTGAAGGAATTTCAGAGACCCATATGGCCACTAGTCGGGAGAGACAATGTTCTCTGTCTTCAGAGGATGAAAAACACTGATTTCGAGCACAAGCCCCAGACGAAAAGTCAGAAAGACAGACATTCTGCACTGCGTCCCTGGAGACCCAGCGCTTCTTATGTGGGCCTTTCCGCACCTCGTGCCTTCAAGTCAGCGGGAATTTCTTCATTTAACTGTACTGTTAACCATCCTGCATGAAGTCAGGGAGACGAGTGCATAAAGCAACATAACCTTAAGTCCGTGACAGCAATTATCCTATCTTACCGACTGCTACAAGAGTTTCAGAAAGCCGAACCTGTTTTAGGAAGATGCTGGTCTAGTTGAAAATGTGATGGCCGCACCAAACCCATCGATCAGCCTGGCAACTGCCCACGGCTTCAGAGTTTTCCTTTCCTGAGTGCTGGCAGAGGAAAATGACCGATCGGCTGCTTTGTACCCATAAACAGGGAAATGGCACAAATCTGGCTCCAACCTTGAAAGCAGATGTTGGGTAAGCGTCTCCATTAACATTCAGTAACCGGCCCTGCATGAATAGGCCTAAACTGTTTCCCAGCAATTATAGAGGCATTTGCAAATGTGTATTTACCGTCTGACAGCAGTGTACTTGCCTGGTGGGTTGTTGAGCCCTCTGGCAGTGCAGAAAGCCGCCTTCCCGAACTGTTTGTTTTTGTGAACTCCTCAGATCGGCCTGCTTTCTAAGAGGCGTTGGCCCAGCCCAAGTCTACAATCAGAATGACACCCAATTCAAGGGGCTAAATATTTAGCAATGGAGGTATTGCCTCCCCTTGCCCTTTTTTTTTTTTTTTCTTTTTCAGTGTATTTCCTGTATTTTAGGACATCTATGTTCAGGGTTCTAGTTAAACATCCTTTGGTTAAAAAGAACAGAAATCTAGCAAATCTGGCTCAAATGAAAGGTTACTGGCAGGGCAAAGATCTCAGGGAATCTGCAAAACCACTGAACAAATCAGCTTCAAGAAGCATAGCAGTGGGGAAGGAGCGCCCCAGCTAGTTACCTCAAAAGCAAAGAAGTTGTAAACCTTCCCTTTTGCGTCCTGCCATTACTGGGGCAAGAACCATCATCTGGGTTGACTGATACAGGCCTGCAGCTCAGTGTGTCAGTCTCCTGGTCCCCGGAGGAAGCTTCATTTAGCCTAGCTTGGGTCACCGGGCAGGTTTCCTGTAACTTGTGGACATGGTCAAGGGTGGGGGTTGGGACCACAAACGCCCCCAACTCTGAGTCCTGAGAGTCATCAGGGTGTGGGGAGGAGCATTTCTGAAGAAAGTGGGCTAGGCGAACATTCCAAAACATTTACTGTCTCCAGTCCCTAAATTCTGTAGATGGTGCCATCCAGACAGCTCTGCTCCGTCTCCTTCTTTGCTTCGGTAAGCAGGTGGTTGAGAGCTGTGAGTGCGAGAGTCAGGGTGCCCACATCTGAATCCCAGCTCCGGTATCGGCCCGTTCGGTGACCCATTAGCAAGTGACTCATTCTCTACAGGCCTCAGTTTCCTCTTCCGTAAGTGGGAGAAAGAAACATTTTGTTTTAGGCCTTTTGAAGGGATTAAAGGAGTGAATACATGTGACGCCTTTACTGAAAGCTCAACTAAGTGCTCAGAGCAATGCCTGGGAAGTAAAACTGGCCCGTTACTGGCCAGCTAGTAATTATGGCATTATTATAACTACCAGGTTACAGTATAACAATAATCTCAAGTACTGTCATTTCTCTGGCTTGGCACATCATCATTTCCTTATGCCAGAGGTTCCCGAACTTTCTCGGTTCACAGTGAGCATCCTTGACATCTCGGTAATTTTTTTCCAAGTGCATGTAGGCCAAAAGAAACCCTGACTAATTTGGTTTATTATATTGTTACATCCAACATAATTTAATAAGTGTTTATGTCCTACTAACTTGGTAGCCATTTGAAGATACACCATATCCTAGAAAAATACTGTGTTTATTTGAATCTTTTAAAATAACCACGATCGCTCACCAATGAGGTGTGTGCCACACGTGTAGACTGGAGAGTCAAATACAGTTTTGAGATAGGAATAAACATGGAGACACAGAGAGGAGGGACACCTGACTCAGATGTGGGACTCAGGGGACCATCTCAGAAGAGGTGGTGGCAGGGCTGAGCCCTGCTGGATAAGGAGATGCTACCCAGGTGAACGGCATGGTGGTGGTGATGAGAGGGACTAACACTGGTTAAGTGCCTGTGCTATACCTGGCCCTTTACTTTGATGACACCTTTAACCCTGACACCAGATCTCTGTGGTGAGCATTATTCTTATTCCCATTTTTAGAGAGAAAAATTGAGGACCAGAGAAGTTAAATATTTGCCCCTGGTCACAAGGTTCGTAAATGGAAGAGCCAATATCCCAACCCACATGTATGAATTTTTTGGAGCCTATAGTCTTTACTATTACCCACTGACTCCAAGGCGAGGCTTGCTTCCTAAGGACAGAGGCAAGAACAGAAGGTTAAGTTATGTTTCCCTTGATTCCCTGCATGGGAGGGAAATACAATACAGACTTAATAAATTGGAGGGAGAGCAGTGTTTGTTTTTGCCTTCCTCGTGTCCTCCGGCTTACACAGCGGACACTGCACACGGTAAAATGACTAATTAGCTAGGATGATTGTAATTAAAATGGAACTGACCAATTAATAAATGCAAGTGCTAGCATACTTGCTAATTTAACAACTCTGTTTGTGCTGCTCGCTTTCCAGTCTAAGAACCGAGATGGGGAAACCTTCCTTCACCCCTCGGACAAGATGATTTAACAGAACTGAAGTCTTATTCTTGTTTCCAGTTGGTTTCTCATCTGAGAATAGCACAAGGTTTCAATACAAT